AATGTCTTGTAATTGAAAGACTGATAATCTCATATCACTGTTTACAGGGTGGAACACTGCAATCTTGCACAGCTGAATAACCATCACAAGACGTTTTTCTTCATAACCTGTTGTTACATCTCATTTAAAATGAAAATGTACTTCCACTATCAAGGTATTCATTCTTTTCACTTTGATCTCCAGTGGGTGGAAATGCTGACAGCTAAACCACATTTTCACTGCCTATTACTCCCAATTTTATGTAATAACAAATAAACAAAAAACCACCCTGCATAAAAGTCTTTACTATATAGGAAATTAATATATTAAAACAGGAACTAGAGGACATCTAATGAAAACAGAAGGCAGCAAATTCAAAACAAAAAGTGCACTTGTTCATATATTGAAGTTGTAGAACTCCTTTCCACAGGATATGTGGATGCTAAAGGTTTGCAAAGACTAAAAAATAGACTGGATACATTAATGGAAGAGCAATCTGTCTGGCTGGCAGGTCCTTGAGCTGCAGGTGGCTACCACTGACGCTTGGCCACCTTCTGCTTTCCTTACTGTCACCCACTTGAGCCTCTGCTGGAGGCACAGCAGTTCCAGAATGATCGCTCTGTGTTTGAACAGTTGGAAAAACCCCATTGATCCACAGCTTTGTGCAACAAGCAGCACACAAGAAACAATTTGTAGCATGTAATACCCTGTTTTATCAGTGCTACCACACTTGGGTGCCGTGTTGCACGCCTGTGAACACAACCTGCTGGCATTTATCTGCATCTGTTGGCATGCGGACAGACTTCTTCCATTTGCAATGTGCTTCTGTAGCCCGTCTGCTAAAGAAATGCCATAGTCAATGGAACAACTGTAACTGTGCTACGACTCTCATGTTGGAATGTAAGAGAGGAATTTGTGCCTATTGAAGTGTCTGTCATTATAATCAGATATGTTAAGTCTGTACTATAAGGTAGACTCCTATGGCAGTCGGACGAGGTGCCCTTGGGAGAAACCTCCTTTTCTCCATTCATGATGAAGGAAGCGGAGAGCCTAAGATGACTCACAGGGAACAGCCAGGCTGCGGGTATCTAACATCACTCAAGATGACCACCTTTCTCATCCAACTGGGCAGAGTCAAATTGCCTGAACAGTTGGAGTTCAGTTCAAACTCGGGTGGTAGGTACACCTCGGCTTTTGAGTCAAATCCCCTGTTCTTACTCCTTTTTCTTCACTCAGGAAAAACCCAAGGGATGCCAGTAGGAAAAGGGCTTTATGAAGGCTTCAAAACGTGCTGCTTAGTTTATAAAACCCAAGTCTGATGAAAGCAGTCTTGCTTTGTTAATTTTTGCTATAGGCATGGAAAAGTTGACTTCTACTACTGTCGATGGTGTGTAATGTATTTCTTGTAGCACACAGGTAAAGCAGGAGATGGAGACTGGCAATGAAGCTATTATTTTTGACAGGCCCAATTTATTGACACTGTTAGTGGCTAATTGACACATTAAAGTGCTGAACCATGAACATATTCACCCAGAGGTCCTCGAAACTTTTATTTATGTCTGAACCTCCTAGGAAAAACAGTAAATATTCACCTCAACCAAAATAACCAGCATATGCTAGGAACCACAGGGCTGAAATTCAGCTGTTCCTGAAGGTCAATACACAGTTTTAGAATAGGTAGAGGCTGGTGAGACAGTGAGAAATAATTAACTTACTCACCCAGAAAACATTTTCAATTATAAACAGCATGAGCTGGAGGACTGCTCAGTTCTGCTGAATGAATAACCTTCCTCACTAAATATTTCACCAAATTGGGCAGGCCAGCCACAGTGGGACTCGTTTCAGTTCATCACAGCAACCATCCAACTGGCACACATTTTTTAAAACAAAATATATGAAAAAAATCACAATCTACACTAGTTACGTGGAAGAGCAGAAGACTGTTAATCCCACTAGGCTGAGTGAAGCATTAGGAAGCATGAAAGGCTGAAATCAACTTTTTCACCAAATCCAGCCTCCTATTGCTTGGCCTCTAGGTTAAAACTATGCAGAGCATTTGGCTTGAAGAGTAATTAAACTTCTTCTTTGCTTCCTAGAAAGCAAGAACATTTTATTGATTACCAAGACTTATAATGCAGAGCAGTGTAAAGGGGAGCTGCCTATTTCTTCATACTCCTCTACCAAGGACCAAAGACTGGCCTCTTTCCGAATATTTGTTGTATGTATTTGCACCAGCTCCTGTGGGAAGCGTATGAGGTACAAGTTGACCGCTCCAATGAAGCTCTCAAGAAAAAAAAAGCTGTAAGTTTTAAACAGACAAGGAGACAAACATGCATTACTCATAAAGTCATGTTTAGCAGCATTCCAAGAGAAACCTATTTCAAGGTGCTTTTTTTTTTTTTTTTTAAAACAAATGTGTTTTGTCTTGCATTCAAATTAATCTTGTTAGGTCTTCATCTTTCTTGCCTCACTGCTCTCACGCTTGCCTCTCATGCTCAAAAAGAGTTAGGAGGAATTCATATATTCATGTCATATGACATTCAGAAAAAAAAATAATAATGCAGTGTTCTGGGGACTGTCACTTTCACAGTAAATGCCTCCAGTGCATCTTGCAGTCTGCATCACATGAAGTGTAAGAGGTTGCCTTACAGATACAGCGCAGATTCCTTCTAAAAGTACACACCCATTGCTTTTGTATGTTTCTTCTAAGCTCTAATACCCTCTTTTAGTTCATTAAGTAAATTTCTTTTCATCTCTGTTCTTGCTAAAGGTCATTGGATCCCCCACTGGAAACACAGTAATTGATATGTCCTCTTTTAGGGAGGTGGTTTCAACACCAAGTTTCCACCTATGACCAGTAGTGCACAAAAGTAGACCCCAAATGATTTTAAGTCCCACAGACAGCAAGAATAGTTTTGCTTGCATACAGAATGTGGGGCTGAGCCCTCGAGGAGAGCTGGCCAAACTGACTTCTTGTACACGAATGCGTAACTCCACACAGAATCACAGAATGGTAGGGGTTGGAAGGGACCTCTGGAGATCACCTAGTCCAACCCTCCTGCCAAAGCAGGTACATCTATAGCAGGTTGCACAGGATTGTGTCCAGGCAGATTTTGAACATCTGCAGAGAAGGAGACTCCACAGCCTCTCTGGGCAGCCTGTTGCAGTGCTCCAACACCCTCAGAGCCATGGGGGCAGCCCCAATGCTGTGCAACCCTACAGCAATTTGTGGGACACAGTCCAAGACCACTCAGAGATGAAAAACAAAACAAAACAAGGGTAAGGGGGAACCATTTCCAGATCACTTCTGACCCAACATACAACACTGCTTCTGAAGAAGGAAGGCCTTCTCCTGCATCCCAAAAGAGTGTCTGGACAACCGGCATGGTGGTACTCCGGTTTCTGATCCTCTTGTTTTGCCACTGATCCTCTGGTGGACCTGAGCAGTCTCTCTAGACAAGAAGTCCAGCAAAACCTAGAGGTTTCTGATTTGATGAAAAACCATTTATGTAGAAGAGGAACTGCTCCGCATGGCAAATCCTCTCCATCTACATGAGGAAGGACTGGAGCAGAGCCACCTTTCCCTGGGACAACAGAATTAGTTCTAGTAATTTCCCAGTCCTGCCCTAGCATTTTGAGGAGAGCAACACGTTGTCACTACATGTATCTCAAAAAGGTTATTGTTTCTGTTCACAAATGCTTCAGGGAACACGGGAAGCCAGATCTGCCCTTTTTTGTGTCTTCCGAGTCCCTGACCTGAGGATGGAGTGAGGAAGTTCCCGTGTTCCCGATCACAGGGAATGGGTTCCAGCTTAGCCACATTAGTCTGTGCAAAGAGGAAGAGGAGGGAAGGGAGAGGCTACTTGAGGGCCAAGGCAGATTTGGCTTCATGCTGATATACAAATCCTTCTAAAGTATGCGTGACGCACTGCAACCCCGAAGTACGCACCTGCACCAGGGAAGGGTTAGGGTGAAAAGGGGACGTGCACACCCACTGTCAGGAGGTCACGGGTTCTCAGCAGAGCCTGTAACCACAAGGAGGAGAGTCTGGGCTCGGGTAGCTACAGAAAGCACCTTTGACTGTGGTTGCTGCCCCTCCACCCCGCTACATTACTCTCTCTCCAGCCTGCCTGTCATCTGCATCGTGCCTGGGTACCAGGATCCGTCCCCACAGCATTTAG